AAGTTAAAAATTTGTTGAGCTAGAGGTGTATTAAGTTTGGTATTATTCTCCATTTCCTTAGTAACTGGGAAAGTTTTGAACCAGTCGAGGTCATTAGAGGTATCACGTTTGTTTAGTTTGTTGTTGTTGTTATTGTTGAGGTTGTTATTGTTATTGTTGTTGTTGTTGTTGTTGTTGTTGTTGCTGTTATCATTGCTATTATTATTGTTGTTATCATTATTGTTATAGTTTTGGTTGCTATTATTTTGGTTTTGGAGGTTTGGTTTTTTGTAAATTTTTAAAGATTTGTAGCAGTAAAGTTTTTCTGCTGGTGTCGTGTACTTGAGAGCAAGAATAATTGCAATATTTTTTTGTTCATCAGTAAGTGGTTTGGTTTGGATAAGAGGTTTGATTAGAATATCGATAATTTTTGGAATGCAAGTACGGTAAATGAGTCTAGTTTTGAAGAGTACAGAAGTTGTATAGTCAGGTACGTGTTTATTGTCAGTAGTGTAGACGCATAGTAAATTTTTAATTCTGCAAATAATACAGGTATGTGGGTGTTAAGAGTGTGCTTGAATGGTTGCAGGAGTTGTATCAGTTTTGAATTCTGAGAAGAGAATAGTAGGAGTAGGTCGGGTAATAGGAGAAGAAATAAGCTCTTCAGTGATTTTTCTGTAAGCTTTTGAAGAGATTGTATTCAGAGAGATATCCATTACTTCAGGATTTCTGAGAGTAGTATGAGTTAAGGTATAGTGGCAAGAGGTAAAACTTGTATGATATTGATTGCAGAAGCATGTAGCAATAATAGGTTGGAGGGGAACAAGAAAGTAGTGAAGTTTTTTGTTATTCCTTTTATAGTGAGTTGGTCTGATATTGTATGCAAGAACATGAAGAGAAGATGTTTTGTTTTTATTCATTACTACTCCAAAACGGTCTCTGTACTTAGAGTAGTAATAATCAATATCATATGAGTCAGGTTCCTGACTAATTAGAGTAGGCATGTTTAGAACTTAAGAGGATGAGGTCAAAGAGAGGTACACGAAGTGGTATTATTTGTTTCGTGTAATGTATGTAACGTAATGTGGTACTAAGTGTGACTAGTGTAGCTAGTGTGGCTTGATGGCTAGTGTGGCTAGTGTGGCAAGTGTAGTACGAGATACGAATATGTAACACTAAGATAAAAATAGATTAGGTTTAGTACTATATGCGCTACAAATTAGAAAGAAAACAAATAAGTAATTAATTAATTTGTGTTAAATTAACATATGGGCGGATTTTGTGATTTTGGTGATTTTTACGAATAAGATCTACCAATCAGATAAATAAAAAAGGTGATTATTGCGAGTTTGTCTTACACTAAATTCATGTTTATTGGTTGCTTTATTTAGCACAACGGTCACAATAGTTAAAGTGCTGTTCCTTTTTACGAAGTTCCAGGTCTTGTTTTTTAATACTACGGCTTGAAAATCCTATATTTATGTTCAACTAGATCCTAAATTCAAAGATCCAAAAATAGTTTTTCGAGATCCTCAAATGGGCATAACTTTTACTAATAACAATGCCGAAGGGTTCACCGCGTAAGAATACAGGACCATGTGCAGTATGTGACACTGAAGACCTTGAAGAAAGATTCCGCAAACTGACGCCAAAAACTTTGCCTAAAGCTATGCAAAGTCCAGCTGCTTCAAAGCTAAAGAAGAAGCTTAAATTAGATGACCAGCTATGTCATAAACATTACAGTGAGCTAGTAGTATTTGATAGAAATCTTTCAAGCCCATATAAAAGGCGGAAATATGAATCAAACTTAACTTATAATTTTCATGAAAAGCGCATTGGAGAAGTAAATTCCAATGAGCAATTTAATATTGATAATTGTTACCAAAGTGGTGTAGGCGTCTATGAAGACGGAAAGAGAGCATTCGAATGGTATTTAGAATTTGCCGAAGGTAGAAATTCCAATGGACAATTAAGTGTTGGGAAATGCTATCAAAATGGCATTGGTATCCCTAAAGATGAAAAAAAAGCATTCGAATGGTACTTGAAATCAGCTAGTGGTAGAAATTCAGATGGACAATTAAACGTCGGAAATTGTTACCGAAATGGCATAGGCATCCCTAAAGATGAAAAGAAAGCATTTGAATGGTACTTGAAATCTGCTAGTGGAGGAAATTCAGATGGGCAATTGAACGTTGGAAATTGTTATCAAAATGGTATAGGCATTCCTAGAGATGAAAAAAAGGCATTCGAATGGTACTTGAAATCTGCTAATAGTGGAAATCCAGATGGGCAATTAAATGTTGGAAATTGTTATCGAGATAGCATAGGCATTCCTAAAGACGAAAAAAGAGCATTCGAATGGTACTTAAAATCTGCTAATAACGGGAATTCAGACGGGCAATTAAATGTTGGAAATTGTTATCGAGATGGTATAGGAACCCTTAATGATGAAAAAAAAGCATTTGAATGGTACTTGAAGTCTGCTAATAGAGATGGACAATTAAATTTTTATCGAGGTACCGTAAATGTTCTTAATAAAAACAATATTAGAAAACAGCCTCTTTCAAACTTGCAATCAATATCAGGGCAAGACAAACGATTTATATCTTTTGGAAAAGATTCCAAAAAAGAACTTTTAGCCTTAATCACACAACACCGTTTAATAGCGGAAGATGAACAGCCCATTGTGCATGTACACAATATTCAATTAGACTTTAACGATGAAATTATTAAATTAAATTACCAACCATTCAATAAAAATATAAAATTATCTAAATTAGATGCTATTGTTCGGGCATGTGATGAATCTTTGTTATCTCGAGATGGTTATCGTCGATTAGCTGCTGTGAAGCCTCAGCTTATTCGAGAACATCATATTGCTGCACGAAGAATTGAAATAACGAATCTAATAAATGAAACAATCAAAATTGGAACTTTTAGCATTGATAGAGATATCTTTAGTCAATAATTTATTTCTTCTTTGTTGTCTAAAAATGTTTTATTTAGTTATCTTCTTGTTATTTTCTGAATATATTGTTTCTAGATATCTTGTTTTTTCTTTAAAATTATTTTCTTCTTTGCTTTTAGGAATGTTTTATTTAGATATTTTATTGTCTAAAAATTTTCTTTTGAGAATAGAATTACTTATGTCTATACTTTAGCTCATGAGTAATTCACTTTAGAGTTCTTACTCTTTATTTATAATAAGTAAAGTACTCTGTCTTCTTTTTGATGAAGGAGTATTTCTTCCTTAATATATTTTCTTTTTGTAGATAAATTTAGTTTTTTTATTAATAATTTTAACTTTCTACTAGAAGGTACTAAATATTACAGATAGCATAGCCTTCTTAGTATACTATAAGTAACAGTAACATAGCTATCTAATTACTTTAAGAAGTAGTATCCAAGAGAGAAGTTTCTTTAACTAATTATAAAGACAAGTTCCACTTTGCAAGAAACAGTTTATTTAAGTTTATTTAATAATAATAATATTTATTAATTATAAATATTTAGAGTCAAGTACAAAAAAGGAAGAAAGTTAAGATCTAAACAACTAAAAGGCAAAAAAGAAATTCTACTTGTATTTATAACTTTTAACAAGTATTATATAAGCATCAGCAAAGTATCATATAAGTGACTTATACAAGTGTTACTTAAGTATTTGTGCAAGTAACAGTTAAGTGTTACTATTCTAGTTTTGATACAGTAAAAAGCATAGTATTTGGCATAGTTCAGCATAGTCTAGTACAGTCTTTTAGCATAGTCTAGCATAGTATTAGTATAGTATTTAGTACAGTTTTAGCACAGTTCTTAGCAAAGTATTTGGTATAGTTTGGTATAGTGTTTAGCACAGTTTGACATAGCTTTAGTACAGTATTTTCTTACTACAGTCCATATTTTCTCTGAATGTTATATAATAACTCTAAATAAAACTTATATTATCGTATAGCTAATATTCTTAGCTACAAAGTTACTTAAAGATATTTTTCACTATGAATATTTTTTGAAGTACTTTACTTAGAGATAAATATTTATAATAATTTTCTCTATTCTAATTATCTATACTAAAATAATATAATATAAGAAATAACTAAATACTAATAAATATAACTAATAATATAACTAAGAAAATTACTAGATTTACTCTACAGGTATGATACCTTATTTTTTAAGAAAATAAAAATTTAAAATTAACTTTAGAGTTAGAATAAGCACTATATTAGGTTTAGAGTCAAAAACTATATGTAAAATTAGACACTAAAAACTTTTACTTAGTAATACAAAACAAGTTTTCATAATAAAATTTTGAGATATTAGTAATTTTTAATTTTTTTCTTAATTTTTAAAAATTTTTTTATATTCATTATATAGAGATTCTGTGATCTGATTAGTTAATCATATAAACTGAGTACATACTCATAGAGTACAAATAAAAATTTTCTATAACTAAAATATAATAATAATATAATAATAAAATAACTAAAAATCTATTCTATAACAGTAGTTCTAACTATCTTATATAAAATATCAAATATCTAGAAGAAGAGAGTTCTAATAGTATTAGCTACTAACTAATAAAATTAAAACAAAATTTTTATCAGATCTTATTATACTCATTATATCTAACTTATATAAATATAATAATTCACTAATACAAAAAACTTCTAAGATAATAGAATATACTAATATATTAAATAATTTAAGAAGAATTTTATTAATTAATAACCAAATAGCAATAGTCATCTACTAGATTATTAATTCTACTAAAAATAAGCTATCATCCTTTATTGTATTTTGTATGATTTGAAGTTGTTTAGATATTTTTTTATGCAATATTTTTTGTAAATTGTAGTTATTTTAGTGTTTTAGATATAAATTAATATCTTGTATCTTTATATATACATATTTTTTGCTATTAACTATGAGTTTTTTTAACTTTTTGATATAAATATTCTTGGTATATTTTTGTTTGTTATATTTCAGTTTATTTTAGTTATATTCTAAACATG